GCAAAGAATGAACGGAATCGGTCCACAGGATTCTGAAATATGACGTTGGATAGACTGACGCACGGACAGACGGACGGTCGGATGGACGGACAGACTCAGGAACTCACGGATGGTCGGGGACATGTATCCTAACATGTATGATCTATGTACTAAATTTGAATGAAAACTGACAAAGCATGTCCAAAATACAACATTTTCAAAAAACAAAATGGCTGCCAGTTGGCCATCTTTGATCCAATTGTGAAATAAATCATCATGGACATGTATAATCTATGTACCAAGTTTGAATGAAAACTGACAAAGCATGTCCAAAATACAACATTTTCAAAAAACAAAATGGCTGCCAGTTGGCCATTTTGAATCAAATCGCTAAACCACTGCATGTGCATATGTCCCACATAAAGTACTAGGCACATGCAAAGAATGAACGGAATCGGTCCAAGGGATTCTGAGATACGACTCCGGATGGACGAAGACCGAATTATAAGTCCCAGTTTTCGGACTTCGTCCGAACGGGGACTAAAAATCTGTGGTTTTTAGTCTACAAAACTAGATGGAAATTTACAATTTACTACATGTTGCTATAGTAGCAAGTAGTTACCTTTATGCAACACAGGAGCAGATGTGTAAAATTCCAGGATGGAATATAGATGCATCTTCATTCTCCCAATTATCCGATTAAGACCTTTCAATATGTTTATCAGAAATAGGCTAAAATCCCACCTTTCCTAGTTTCATAATAAGAAATGATAAAACTCAGGATTGTGGATCAGGCAGAAAGGTCTATTTTGACTGCGGCCATTGGCAGGAATACAAAATACAGTATAATCTATGTATGTGTAGTTGTATCAATTTATAAAAAATAACACTACTCGTTCACTTCCTGTAAATGTTATGAAATCTTTATTGAAGAAAAACATCACAGTACTAAAACAAACTTAAACAGTGTGAGGGTTTGTTATTGTGACTGCTCTATCTGCAAAAGATGAGACTCCTCAGTATTATTTATACCTTGTTCAATGTTTGTATCTATATTATATTTAATGTACGTCTATACAAGACAGCCATAGTAAATTGAGATAAAAGTACGCTAGTTGATAACCAAATCCACATCTAGCATACATCATCAGCAGTGTCAACACCGGTAACAGATGGTCCGACAACATTTCAAGTAAAAGTGAGAATAGTCTTTATATGTAATATTTCTAATCAGTAATCTCTCATGATGATCGGCTTTTTAAGTTTGTCATGATTACAAAGATAATACAACAGCTGAGAATCATGGTTGATTTCTTTATTTCAATTTACTTTGACTGACTGAGGTGGCAGCACTACTATCACGGGTCTTCATGTTTTCACTCCCCTTATTCAAGGATTTCAGCAAATACAATCATACTCACACGTGTTGTGTACCAGGTCATAACAGTGCCACATTTAAAACATAATCCCTGCTATATAGCTATTCAGATAGACTTAAATAAGACATTATTTGGCAACATATAATGCTAAACAAATCTTGGGTTCTCTTCAGACGGTAATCAGTTACAAGGAAATACAAGTATTGTGCAATAGTGAAAATATTTTGTAAATTTATTGTATACAATGGCTAAGCTAGGTCTGTTTAGTGTAGATCTACATAATATTGTAATGACATTGACCATGAGTTGTTAAAAATAAGGGCATGCAACTTCCATGATGATGTGCACAACATATGTTCTTGAAATATTAGACATGTTTTACATCTTTTGTTCCAATTTCTCTGACCTTGATTATTGGTGAAGCCACAAATACGACAATGATTAACACAAAATAGCACAGTATGGGTTCATCCTAGAGTTGCAACCCCATATAAATCTGAAATCTTATAGAGTTTCCATTAATTTAATAAATTCCATAAAATATAAACTGAAAAGAATCTACATTATAGTACATAAATACAAGTAGGATAAAATAAAAAGTGAAAAAGAGATTCCATTATACAGTATAACCAAACTTGCCAAATAAATATCTAATCTATCAGAATAGCCAACTAGCAGGGAATTAACCTCAGCATCCGGCAGCTAGGGGAGCTTTATCAGACCCCTTAGTCACTGACAGAGTTGTAAATATCTGAAGAAGAAAAAAAAGAAAAATAACTCAATTCGTTTGTAGCAACGCTGTCAACGTATTATAAGTATGTATGAAAAAAAAATAGGATAATTGAGTGTTAAATGGTGTCGCACAAAATCAGTGCATTACAGTACACACATCTTATTACACTCATCAATTTTTATAACATGTGAACATACAAGTGTCTCAATCTTTTTTTTCTAATATGCTTTTATGTAGCTATTTTATATTCATATTTGCATATTTGATTTCAAGATCTGTCAGTAAATTTGTTCAATAATCTAGGTAAAATTACCTCAGCACAGGTAGGATGTATTCCAATAGACAGATCTAATAATCCCTTTGACAAACCACACTTCATTGCTACTCCATAGCCCTGTGTTATTTCACCAGCATTGGGTCCTAGCACATGGAAACCAACAACTCTATTCTGCAATTGAGAAAGAAAAAAAATTACATTCAGGTCCAAATTATATTATACTAACACTGTTCTGGTCATACCACATTGACATATCAAGGAAGTATTACAAGGAGCGTACCATATACAATAATAAAAAGATTTTTCTATCCCTTTTCAATACACAATGACACATGATGCTTGACTTAATGTATGTGTAGTATAATATAAAGTGTTTTGTTTCACAAAACAATAAAAACTACCATGCCCAACTTGTGCCTTGTATGCTAGCCAATAAAAACCTAAACCCTTATCCACCCCCGGGTATGTAGGGAACAAGAAAAATCACCTCCTTGCTAAATATAACATGTCCCATCCTCTGGGATCAGTATGCGGTATCATCTTGTTATCCACACCCTACCCTGTCCCTCAACTATTCCCATTTTTTACCCCCAGGTTGGATAATTCATAAGAACATGCCCGAGTCCTTCAGAGATCTTTGAACAACGCTATCCCACGATTAATCTCATAGTTACCTCATACTACCTGGTACAAGAGTGTCAGGGTTTCCTTTATATTTCATTATTAAACCATATCAAAAACTTTGCATCTTCAAACAGATCTTCAAGTTGTAACATTGACGTACAAACCATAATATGTATTCAGGGCTTGGACTTCACAGAGACAACAAAAGCAATTACTTTGATGCCCAATAATTATGCCTTTGTGTCCTTTGATATTAACTATACTATTTCTATAATGTCAAAGCAATTTTATCATTTTTTGCCTTAAAAGTGAGTATTTATTTATATATATATATATATATATATATAAATACAATTTCACAGCACTAGTAGACATAAGATTTTTGATAATAATAACACAGTACGTACACTATCAACTCTATGACAGATAATCTTTCCATAACACACGTTGTCCTCTCGTTGTGCTACGGTATGTTCCAATGGTTTGAAATAGGTATGGAATACCTACAAATAAAACAATTCTAAATTTACTTATTGAACACATGCATGTACAATGAAATTGAGACTTCAAATGACGAAGCTCCTAGAAATATACCAGTAGTCATAGTAACAAGTGATTATTAGTTTACTGATCTTGTGCAATGCAAAGAAGCAGAATGTCGCAATAATCGAATGATTTGATTTTGAATTTAACATTTTTTTTTCAGTTCAATGTCCTACTTTATCATAACTGACAGTCAAATGTGTACAGCACATGGAAATACCCCAAAATATGTTTGTTGAATTTCAGGAGATGTTTTCATAGTGATACCACTATAACCTTTTTGTTTGTCCTGTTTTTATGCTCATTTTTAAACAATTTCAATTTCTCGCAGCAAAATGGAAAATGTTCTTATTCTGTAACTTCATAGTAAATATGAAAACAATCTGAATCTGAAAAATATTTTTCTTGTACTAGAAAATTATCAAGTAGAATAAGGTGTATATCATTTTGTGTTTGATTTGTCTTCAGTGAAACACAAACAAATGTAGTTAACATTTCTTGATCTTACAGGATATATGCTTACCTCCACCAGTTGATCACCATATTTGTTAATGGCGTCTTCTTCTGATAAACCACAACACCCATACTCCAATGGTGTGAAGACTGTTGTTGGCACATTAACATAGTCACACTGAGACATAAATACAGTAAATGCAAGGAATTATTCATCTCATCTCATCTCATCTTTTAAACTTGTTTACAACTATGTCAACTAGGTCTAAGCCTGTTTCTCACCAGAAATGTAAACCACTATGGTAAGTGTAATTTACATAACATTTGCATATAATTTGCATAATAATTCCAAAGAATTTTTTTTATAATTAACCTACAGAATTACAAAATGCACAAAAGTATTGACTTATAAAACTATTATTGCTTCAAGAGTGTTAGGACTTAGTGTTAGTGGCAGTAAAACAAAGCACTGCTGTGGCACTCGCACACTGTTTGTATCCTGGGAAGAAAGCTTTAAGCCAATAAGCTGGCCTACTCACTCAACTGTTACTCTCCTAGGCCAATGGCAAAACTGTTTACTTACCCTAGCAACATGGCCTCCATAAAGCCTATTGGCCAATAGTGTTCCTGCTTGTATTGCAACTGGTGTTAGTTCTGGTTTTCCTTCAAGTACATCACCCAGGGCATAGATGTGACTCACATTGGTCTCTTCAAATTGAGCTGGTATTTTACCATTCCTATCGTATACAGTAGTTAGTTCAATGAGATTGTCAACTTAACGTGATGGCCAACATTCTATGTGATGGTCAATATTCAATGTGGTGGCCAATATTCAATGAGCTGGTCAACATTCAATGAGATGGCCAACATTCAATGAGCAGGTCAACATTCAATGAAATGACCAACATTCAATGAGATGATCAACATGTAATGAGATGGCTAACATTCAATGAGATGGTCATAATTCAATGTAATGGCCAACATTCAATGAGATGGCCAACATTCAATGAGATGGCCAACATTCAATGAGATGGCCAACATTCAATGAGATGGCCAACATTCAATGAGATGGCAAACTCAATGTGATGGCCAACAATCATTCAATATGATGGCCAACATTCAATGTGACAGCATATTCAATTCAATGAAATGAAATGGCCAATTCAATTTTCCTCAGAGACAATACAAGATCCTGTTGAGTCAATTTACTGCTAAATTAACCAGGTGGCAGTGAAATTAGGAAGAAATAACTGTGCCAATGAAAAAACTTACTTAACATTGTATTCTACACCGGCTTTATCCAGTCCAATAGTCTGAGTGCAAGCATCACGCCCAACAGCAATGATCACCTAAAAAATATTAAAATATCATAAATAAAAGTATGATTCACATTGACAAAAATTACCAAATATGGCATGTCAGTGAACTATTATAAGGGGTGATCTCATATTCAAACACCTGGGTCAAACCTGGGTTAACCCGGTCTTCCCTTGCTAGCCCTAATCAGACCTACTAGACCTACAATATGCAAATTAGTAGTAGGTTTGAACCTAACCTCCAGATTAACTGCCCATTAACGCCCCCACAACAGAGAACAAAGAAGACAGACCTAGGGAAACCTAGGTTTTTCTTACAATACTGTTTCAGCCAGGTTTCAGTAGGAAAAAAAATAAGACGTATACTATGGAGCTCCTTGTTCATACTGAGTGTTAAGAATTACAGCAGCGATTTTTTTTCTTTGCAAGTCTTGTACATGTAAATGCTAATAAAAAACAAACTTGCATGTGTTTCACAAATCTATTTACATCATGTCATTTATAAGTGTGATGAAAAGTTTATTTATTTCTGTGATTGGTAATAATAATCAGTTTCCCACAACTCACATTTTGGTTTGTACCAAATACAATTGTTATTCAATTTATCTGGAATTAATTACAGACGTGATGGTTTGTTATATTTTGTCATTGAATGTGAATCAAGTGATACCATAGAACCCTCTCTATTGTGATATATATGGTGAATTAATGTTTGAAACAGAAC